TAGCCAGGACATGGAAGCAACCTAAGTGTCCATCAACAGATGAATGGATAAAGATGTGGCACATACATACAATGGAATATTACTCAGCCGTAAGAAGAAACGAAATGAGTTATTTGTAGTGAGGTGGATGGACCTAGAATCTGTCATACAGAGTGAAGTAAGTCAGAAAGAGAAAAATACCGTATGCTAACACATATATATGGAATCTAAGGGGGAAAAAAAGGTCATGAAGAACCTAGGGGCAAGACGGGAATAAAGACACAGACCTACTAGAGAATGGACTTGAGGATATGGGGAGGGGGAAGGGTAAGCTGTGACAAAGCAAGAGAGAGGCATGGACATATATACACTACCAAACGTAAGGTAGATAGCTAGTGGGAAGCAGCCACATAGCACAGGGAAATCAGCTCGGTGCTTTGTGACCACCTAGAGGGCTGGGATAGGGAGGGTGGGAGGGAGGGAGACGCAAGAGGGAAGAGATATGGGAACATATGTATATGTATAACTGATTCACTTTGTTATAAAGCAGAAACTAACACACCATTGTAAAGCAATTATACTCCAATAAAGATGTTAAAAAAAAAAAAAAGGATCCGCCTGCCAATGCAGGGGACACGGGTTCAAGCCCTGGCCTGGGAAGATCCCACATGCCGTGGAGCAACTAAACCCACGTGCCACAACTACTGAGCCTGTGCTCTAGAGCCCATGAGCCACAACTACTGAGCTCGTGGGCCACAGCTACTGAAGCCTGCACGCCTAGAGCCCGTGCTCTGCAGCAAGAGAAGCCACCGCAATGAGAAGCCCGCGCACCTCAACAAAGAGTAGCCCCCACTCGCCACAACTAGCGAAAAGCCTGCACGCAGCAACGAAGACCCAATGCAGCCAAAAATAAATAAATAAAATTTTTTTAAAAAAATTGCTTAATTTCTCTTGAGATTTCTTCTTTGACCCAGGTGTTATTTAGAAATGTATTGTTTAATATCCAAGTATTTGGGGATTTTCCAGCTCTCTTTCTGTTACTGATTTCAAGTTTAATTCCCTATGGTGTAAGAGCAGATGTTGTATGAGTTGTATTCTTTAAAATTTGTTAAGATGTATTTTATGGCCCAGAACACGGTCTGTCTTGGTGAATATTCCATGTGAGCTTGAGAAGAATTTGTATTCTGCTGTTGTTGGATGAATAGTTAATAGATGTCAATTAGAGCCAGTTGATTGATGGTGCTGTGAGTTCAACTATGTCTTTACTGATTTTCTGCCAGCTGGATCTGTCCATTCTGATAGAGGGTTGTTGAAGTTTCCATCTCTAGTAGAGGATTCATCCATTTCTCCTTGCAGCTCTATCAGTTTTTGCCTCATGTAGTTTGATGCTCTGTTGTTAGGTACAAACACATTAAGGATTGTTAAATCTTCTTGAAAGATTGTCATCTTTAGCATTGTGTAATTATTCCTGATAACTTGCCTTGGTTTGAAGTCAGCCCTGTCTGAGGTAAGTATTTCACTCTCTTCTTGCTTGCTTGGTTTCTTAAGACAAGTTGGATGTAATTCTTATCAATAGGTAAGGTGTATCTTTTTCTAGCTTCTTTGAGGATTTTTTCTTTATCTTTTTGATTTTCTGTGTTTTAAAAATCACATGCTTAGGTGTAGTTTTCTGGGCATTTTTTCTGCTCAGTGTTCTCTTAGCTTCCTGGATCTGTGGTTTGTGTCCGACATTAATTTGGGGGAAATTCTCAGTCATTGTTTCAGATTCTTCTTTTCTCTTTCTTTTCCTTCTAGATTTCCATTACACATATTTTATACCTTTTGTAGTTGTCCCACAGTTCCTGGGTATTGTATTCTGGTTGTTTTCCTTTTTTTAAAAAATCAACATCTTTTAAAAATATATTTATTTATTTATTTATTTATTTGGTTGAGCTGGGTCTTAGTTGAGGCAGGCGGGCTCCTTAGTCGCGGCACACCAGCTCTTTAGTTGTGGCACTTGGGCTCCTTAGTTGCAGCATGCATGTGGGATCTGGTTCCCTGAACAGGGATTGAATCCGGGCCCCCTGCATTGGCAGGTGGACTCTTAACCACTGTGCCACCAGAGAAGTGCTGGCTTGCATTATTTCTGATGAGAAATCTGATATTAAATATTTATCTTTATTCTTTTGAACAAAAAGTGTCTCTACCCTCTCCCTGCTTTTAAGATTTTCTTTTTATCTCTAATTTTCTGTAATTTGATTATAAGGTGCCTTAGTATGTTTTTTGTTTTAATTTTTATGTTATATTGGAGTAGAGTTGATTAACAATGTTGTGTTAGTTTCAGGTGTACAGCAGAGTGATTCTGTTATACGTAGACACGTATCTATTCTTTTTCAAACTCTTTTCCCATTTAGGTTATTGCAGAGTATTGAGCAGAGTTCCCTGTGCTTTACAGTAGGTCCTTGTTGGCTATCTGTTTTAAATATATAGTATGGTTTTCCTTATGTTTCTTCTGTGTGGAGTTCATTGAACTTCTTGTATATGTGTTTATAGTTTTTATCAGTTTTGGAAAAATTTTGACCTTTTTCTTCAAATATTTTTGTCCTCCCTTTGCCCCTTTTGTGAAACTCCAGTTATATGTACTGCTTGATATTGTCCCATTGGTCACTGGTGCTGCATTTTATTTTTTTGGTCTTTTTCTTTTCTTTTTTTCCCCCTGTGTGCTTTATTTCAGGTAGTTGTTTTGCTGTGTCTTCAAGTTCACACATCTTTTCTTTTGCAGAATCTAATATGCTGTTAATCCCATCTGTGAATTTTTTATTTTAGATATTATAATTTTCATGTCTAGAAGTTACATTTGGTTAGTTTTTATATCTTCCCTCTTGCTCTTCATCATGTCCATGTTTTGTTATGGAACATATTTCTAATAGCTGTTTTGATGTCCTCATCTCCTAATTCCATCATCTCTCTTATTTCTTGGTCTGTTTCTAATGATTGATTTTTAAATCCTGGTTGTGAGTCATTTTCCTGCTTTTTTTATTTTTTATTTTATTTATTATTATTTTTGGCTGCATTGGGTCCTTGTTGCTACACGCGGGCTTTCTCTAGTTGCGGCGAGCAGGAGCTTCTCTTCATTGTGGTGCGTGGGCTTCTCATCGCGGTGCGTGGGCTTCTCATCGTGGTGGCTTCTCTTGTTGCGGAGCATGGGCTCTAGGCTCACGGGCTTCAGTAGTTGTGGCGCACGGTCTTAGTTGCTCTGCGGCACGTGGGATCTTCCCAGACCAGGACTCGAATCTGTGTCCCCTGCATTGGCAGGTGGATTCTTCACCACTGTGCCACCAGGGAAGCCCTCCTACTTCTTTCAATGTCTGGTAGTTTTTGACCGGATGCTGGACATTGCATATCTTATGTTTGGGTGTGCTGCGTTTCATTCTATTCTTTTAAAGGGTGTTAAACTTTGTTTTGATGCTTACTTCAGTTACTTGTGATCAGTTGGATCCTTTCAAATCTTGCTTTTAAGCTTTATTAGGGTAGATATAGAACAGGCTGTAGCCCCATTACAAAGCAGTATCCTTTCCAGGACTCTACTAGATGCCCCTTTTATTAACAGGGTCTTTCTGCTCTGGCTAGTAGATCCACAAACTAGTCCCAGCTGTCTGAAATCCAGGAATTGTTCAGCTTACTGCTTTCTGAGAGTTCTTTCCTTAGCCTCCACCCCACACATGTAGATCATTCTGCAGAATATTCCAGCGACCTCCTCTGCAGATGCCCAGAATTCTCTCCATATGCGGCTCCTTCCTCTTATATTTTGCTCTTCAAGTTCTTACTTCCTCAGCCTTTCTGAACTCCAGTCTCTGTCTCATCAATTCAGGAAGATTATTGGGTTCTGTTTTAGTTTCCTTTCCCTGCTTTGCAGCTTGGGAATTTCCTTCAGGCAGTAAGCTCTGGCAGTTATAGGGCTCACCTTGTTTTTCTCTCTGAGATCATAGGTCTTCACTGCAGTTGTCCAGGGTCTGAAAAATTGTTTCATATATTTTGTTCAGTTTCCTAGTTTATGGTGGAAGGGCAGTTTCCTTTCTAGTTAATCCTTCATATGCTGAAGCAGAAGTTCTGTATAAATTTTATACTTTGCAAACTTTTTAGAATAATCAGAAGAAATAAAGTCTGTCCTTTTACCTTTTAACCAGTTCACTCCATCTTCATACTCCCTCTTCTGGATTTGTATTTGCTATAGAAGAAACTGATTTCATGTTCTGTTGAAACTTTAATGCAATATGTATTCTTAAGTTATTTTCTAGTTAGTGCATCTCAAAATACAGGTTCATGCTAGATCTTACAATTTCTCTTAATATGGTGGGGGGGGTGTATGCATGTTTTTTCTGTTGTTTATTAACTAATTTCTGTCCCAAAGCTAAAAGATCTTCATTCTGAGCATTGCAGGTGAGACCTCTCTCTTACTCTCTTTCCACATACATATAGCCCTAAAATCATTTGAGAGGCTAAGTGGCTTTTTGTTTAAGTTGCTTTGGGCTATTGATACAATTCTTGTTATTGTCACTAGTAACTTAACTCAATATTTGTTTGCTACTCTTATCTTTTTCACTTGAGTAATGCTAATGTAAAAATGTGTAACCACATAAACAGTGACTTGCCTGATTCCCCGCCCCACAGGTGGTATAGCTGTATGCTGGGAAAGAAATGCAGCCTGGCTCCTCTGAAGGAAGAACTTCGAATACAAGGGGTAAGGCTTTGTCTTTACTATTCTGGTATATCCACTTTTGATGGTACTTGGAGTATAGATAGAACTTTCCTTTATACCTAGAAGCTCTAAATGTGTTTTTTGTTTGTTTTATTTTTGCTTGTTTATTTATTTATTTATTTATTTTTGCGGTATGTGGGTCTCTCACTGTTGTGGCCTCTCCCGTTGTGGAGCACAGGCTCCGGACGCGCAGGCTCAGCGGCCATGGCTCATGGGCCCAGCCGCTCCTCGGCATGTGGGATCTTCCCGGACCGGGGCACGAACCCGTGTCCCCTGCATCGGCAGGTGGACTCTCAACCACTGCGCCACCAGGGAAGCCCTGCTTGTTTATTTTTTAATGTTGTAATTTTGGGGCTAAAGGGAACTTTTTATAAATTATTAAAATAAGGCCTTCTTTGACCAATAAGAAAAGATGGGGAAAACAGGATGAGTAGAATGTCAGAGAGAAACCAGACATCAAAAAACCTGTTGTCTGCCTACCACTGACCCCACATCTGACTCCATTATAACTGCAGAAACTGAAGCTAAGGGGCTTTTTCCAGGTCACACGTCTAGTTCACACGTCTAGTTATCAACGAACAGCTGAAACCAGAACAATTTTCAATCAGGTGTGTGATCTTCACCCCACTATGGTGTGACCCACACAAGTTCAGCCCCTCGCTTTTGTTTTGAAAAGCAGGTGACAAATACATACTTCCCCAACTCCCCTCCCAGTTTATGGTGTTTGGGCGTGAATAGGCAGGAGCAGGATGACTTTTCAGAGAAGGGGCTCAGATGTGGGTTCAGCGGTAGAACCAAGTTTCTGATTTCAGTTTTCTCTCTGACATTCTACTCATCCTATTTTCCCCACAACACCTTTTCTTTGTTAAAATTGTAACAGCTAGAAAGTAGTTCTGTTTTCTTTCCTAAAATCTGGTAGACAAAAGGGAGACTACATAGCTGTGTCTAGCTAGGCCTTAGAGGCTCTCTTTCCTAAACAAAAGAAAACAAAAGAACATTTGAATCATTTTACCAGTGGTTCTCTGAAGGGCTGTGTTTTGAGTGTTTCATATATTGGACCTTCAGGCCAGAACTATAAATTCTCTCTCGTGTTTTATGGCAGGAAGAAAGCCCACAACTTTGTCGAGAAGTAATTTATTCATTGATTGTTAGGCAGCTGTGCATAACTGTTTTGGGATGGTAGTGTTTGTTAACTGATAAAAAGGACGACCAACATATAGTTTAACATGAGGCAGGAGCCAGAAACATAGTAGAATTACTAGAATGATGAGATGCTGTGTTTGCTGGTTTCAGGTTCCTAAAGTCACCTACACTGAATTCTGCCAAGGTCGGACAATGAGGTGGGCTTTGGCTTGGAGTTTTTATGATGATGTAACAGTACCAGTAAGTAGAGACCTTCCTTTAGCTTCTCTGAATTCCAGCACATGGTGGGTTTTAGTAGGTCATAAATGAACTAAATCTGTACTGTCCTGTTTTCCTGAAGTTTGCCCCAAATGCTTATGTCAGAATGGAAAGTGGAGGGGCTGCAATGGGAAATGAGATGTTGGTCAAAGGTTATGCTTCCAGTTGTAAGATGAATAAGTTCTGGGGATCTAATGTACAGCATGGTGACTGTAGTTAACAACACTGTATTATATACCTTAAAGTTGCTAACAGAATAGATCTTGCATTCTCACCACAAAAAAAGAAGTAATTATGTGAGGTGATTGAGGTGTTAACTAACCTTATTTGGTAGTCATTTCACAGTATTTGTGCAACAAATCATCACAGTGGTACACCTTAAACTTACACAATGATATATGCCGTTTGTACCTCAATGAAGCTGTAGAAAAAAAAGAAAAGAATGGAAAGTGGTTGTAAACCAGACATAGTCCTGGGAGACTGACTGTGGAACCTTTCTCTGTGAGTTTGTGCAACTCATTGATTCTTACTCAGCACACATAAATGAGTTGGAAATGCATCTTTTAGGAATTAAAAAATTCAGGTACAAAAACTTTGTGGGTATGATTATTCTGTTAGATATTCCTCAAGCACTGAAATTGAAGTCTGTTTATTTTCTATTAACACGGCTGTTTTCCTAGAGTAGCTATCTCCTGGGGTTCCTGGTGGATGTAGAAATTACCATTTGGGGTTGCAGGCTTTTGGTGTGTAAAACTTAGAGATCATTCCAATGAAGGGTTCTGTCTCAGCTTTAAGATTAGCACTGGAATACTAATGAGTTTTGAAGCTGGGTGATAGTTCATTACCCTATTTTGTCTACTTTGCATGTGCTTGAGCTTGAACATTCTTCCATAATAGAACGTTTTAAAACATGATTTGTTCCACAAAATTCTCTTTGTCCTCTGTGTTGCTATATGCAAAAGAAAAATGTTTCTGAACTAGTTAGACCGAACAGTTTTTCTGGGCCGTGCTAAGAGGTGGTAATAGAATAGCATCTGTTTGTTCTCACATTTCCCTTGGAAGAATGATTGACTTACTGTTGCCTGGAGCTGTCCGCCTTAATGTTCATGCACACGTTGCTCAGCGTGGGCTGCTTCTTCCCACAGTGTTTACGGAGGCCTAGTACCTGGTCCTTGCCGCCTCTAATCCTTTATCCACACCACAGGCTTGTTCTGGGTGCTCCTCTCCCAAGGTCTTGGCCACGCTTGGTCTCCAGAGGCTCTCTTAAATGTTGCTGTGTCTATGAGGCTCTTTCCTTCTCCCATAGGGCAGAGGAGTAGAGACATGTGCAGAAGTACAAGGGGATGATTTGCAGATGTTTCTGAATACATGAGCTCAGATTTGAAACTGAGCCTTTCCTTCCTGTGCTCTGCAGCTAGGTGTGCTGCTGGATTGAAATAAGTTTCCCAGTCAAGTCTGATTGGCCTGCCTGATGGAAGCCTAGACTTGCCTCTGTGCCATGCAGTAGGGTATCTAGAGATTTGTGTTTGAAATTCTCACTGGTTAGAAAAGATGGTTCTGCTTTTTTTTTTTTTGGTTCTGTTTTTTTGACCTCCCTGAGGGATTATCCTTTCTGTTGTCTTCTAGAACACTAGGGCTTTCCCACCAAATGGTTAAAATCATTAGTAATGTCCTAGCTTATCCCTGTGCAGACACTAACAGCTGCAGGAAAGTGGAACTGCACCTGTTTCCGGATGCTTCCTGTTTAACCTGCTTTCTGCACTTGTTGGTACCACAGGCAGAAGAGCTGATAATGAGCTCTTGCACTCTTCAGGCCATCTCAGGGACCAGCGTCACCCTTGCCTTCTTGGATTAGTAGCTATTTCAGATCAGAGTATCAAAGAGTACTATGTTTCTGTGTAGCAAAATCAGCTTACTTTATTTGCTCCCTCCCTCCCTGTCTTTTAGGCCGTCCTTGAGCCCTGTTCATAGTTTCAGCCATCAAAGGATGCCTCTTGCTAAGGGCTTCAGGTTTCTCCCATGCCAGGGTACTCATCCCTCCCCACCACTACCCCCAACCCAAAGTTGTTAATAATGCACTCCCAAGTGTTCCATTAGGTACACTTAAACTGCTACAGGGGAAATGGCAATTTCTGATTTGTGGTAACCCAGCAACAGTTTCTTAGCACTGGTGCCCTTGATCAGCATCTGCTTTTCCAGGGGTAGTCCCAAGGCACTCGGGACGTTTTTAGTGGACTGTCCTCTTGGTTCACCTTCCCTCTACCTGGACCTCTCCCACTCCTTGCTTTCTGAAATGGTCACCTCATTTCCTCCCCCTTGCTCCTGCTGGTGGTGGGGAGGGAGGAGGATATGCTGCTTTAGGTGAGGAGAGGAAGCCAAGGACTAGAGCTAGTTAAGCAGAAGTATTGACCTACTTCCCCATCCCACCCCAACTCCCGCCTTTTTAGGGTAAATGTGCAAGTTACTATGGCAACTTCTGTTTTCATTTATCTTAGGCCTACTGACTCGTTTCTGTTGGTGCTGAATGCTGAAAAATTCCAATTCACTTCTGATTCAGGTGCCCACACTAAGCCCATTGCTCTTGTCTGGATTTATTTTAACAGCAAAAAGACGAGTCCTAGTGTTGATAGAATTTTGTACATTCATTTTTGACTGGTGACAAATATAAGGAAACATATTGTGAGGACGGTTCTTTACAGAATTTTAACAAGCCACTTATGTGCCTCTTTGTCCGATCTTCTCCTCTAATTGCTCAAGGCATTATTTTAGGTTTGCTTTGCTTTGCTTTCAGAAGTTTGACACTTGTTAAAAGAAAAAGAGAAAATAATATAGCCGTAGTAAATTGTGCACTCTTGGTCTGAGCATTGCCCAGGAACTCTGGTTTTAAAAAATGACCTCCCTGGGTTCAAGACATTTCCTTTGAGCCTGGGTCTTCCCTGTCTAGGGAGTAATAACTAGAGGGCTTTTTGGAGAACAAATGGAGGGAAGGGGTCAAATTAATTATGTAACCTTGTTAGTGTCAGAGTGGGGGTCCTCTGATAGTGCTCCACCTACTATTCCACAGGTTCTCAAACTAATTCTAGGTAGAGGAGGGATTCCATGTTGGTGCCCAGGGGATGACAGTTGGGGGCAGATGTAAGGCTCGTACTTCAGGGCTGTCTCTCATTTTAACCAGAGCTGATCTGCTTTTGTCAGTATTATGTATTAATTTTATTTATTGAAAGGATTCTGCTTTTAAGACATGGTTAGAAAACCAGTACTCTACCAGACTGTATATTGTGCTGTAAAACAGATGTGATGATTAGGGAGCTGAGCTCTTGAACAAAACCAAAGCTAAGGCTCCTCCTCTTAATTACTTTTCTTATTAAGTGTGATGTTCATTGTGATAATACTGAAGAAATAAGATACCATTTTCTGTACCTTATGATGATTAGTTTTATGGGAGAGAAAAACATGTGAAGTATTGATACAAAATTTTATATATGAGTAAGTAATGAAATGAATGGTAGGGACCAGAATGGTGTGGAATTAGGGAGTTCAGAAAAGGAAATGGTTCAGGCTGGGCTAGTGTGACAGGACTTCATGGAGGAGGAATTGTCAGTGTCTGACTCATAGTTGGTGCTTGGTTAGTATTTGTTGAATGTTAAAAGGAGTGATGTAGGACTTCTACTAAGGAGCAGCATTGCAAGCAGGACATTAATAGGTATAGTAGATTTAAAGCAGTGGATATAGTGCTTCAAATTGTGTTGTGAATGCTTCACACACATTATGTCATTTTATTTAAACCTGACAAGTCGAATACGTGGCATTATCCCCACTTCCTAGATGAGGAAATTGGAGGCTCTAAAAAGTCAGGTTGGAGCCCAGATTAGTCTGATTTCACAGCCTAAGCTCCTACTCACTGTACTGCCAAAGGACTGCCTTTTATTCCAGCCTAGCCATGTATTAACCTACTTAGGCAACACTTCTTCACCTTGCTTATAGGCCATCCCAGCAGCCTTCCATGTAACAGTCACTTGGATTCATCCTCAACTCACCATTCAAAGAATGTAGAGCTCCTCAGTGGCTCCTTGCGCCTCCCAGATCTGTCTTTGACTTTCCCTTCCATCCTAATTGCTCCCTGTTTTCCTGACTGTACTGTTTTCTACGATATTAGAAGTTCCACAGTCTTCTCATGATGCCAGAGTCGTAACTGACTTTGTACAGCCTTTGCTCACAGCCCTTTCTCTGATCCTTCCTGTGAACTTCCCTCCACTGCAGCCCAGCTCAATTCCAGCTTCTGCATAAAGCCTTCTTAACCATGCAGCCCATAGAAATCTCTCTGGACTTATCTCTTTCAGTCATTTGTATTCTGCATGAACTTCCTTGTGACCTAGTAGTTTGTATTGGTATTCTGTTTAACTGTGGCATGGTGGATAACACCAAAACTATTGCATAGTGCATAGAAAAAGCCTTTTGTGTGCTGGCCCCTGTCTAGCTTTATGTTGAGCAGGTTACTTTTCTAAGTTTCAGTTTCCTCATCTATAAGATGGGGGTAGTAATAGTACCTACCACATAGGGTTTTGAGGATTAAATATAATTAACACAGTGCCTGGTATATAGTAAATGCTCAGTAAAATATATTGTATTGTCATTCCCCACCATTCCTTCTCACCCACCTCCATATTTGATGCCCCAGTAATGTTGAGCTTCTGCTCTCTGATCCCTCTCCAGGAGATTCCTCTCTGACCATCACACTCTCATCTATCAAGTTAGTTCAGATACTGCCACCTGTGAAGTTTGCCCTCACTCTTCCTAAATTGATATTGGGATCCTGCTCCTGTGTTCACTATTCTTTGTCCATATTGTGTCTTCTACATGGCATCAACCTAGTATAGTGTCTGGTCCTCAAATAATAATTATTAAATGAAGGAATAAATGATGTGGTACAGTGATTCTCAGACTTTTCCACTGAAGTATCAGCTATAGGAGGAAATGTTTTC